AATTTATCGGATTTAAAACTTAAGTATATAGAATAACTGGTACTTCAATATATCTATCTGATATAATCTACTCAAAACGAAAACAAAATAATTAATTAATCTAATCTTTATCGAAATGACAACTTGTACATTGAATTATAATCTTGTAATATTTCACGCACGATTTACTCACACGACCAGGATGTTTTGAGAATATCCATCCGAAACTGAGCAATGTAACAACTCCGATTGCGCTTATTAATCTCTCCCTTGAGTCAACGGTGTCGATAATGAGGAATATAATAATAGCAACGAAGAAACAGACGTAGATCGCCGTCTGGATAACGAAACCGCCGTATCTAAAAAAAAAACAGGTAATTTAGAAAAACAATAAATTTAATCATCTATGATATTGTCTATCGTCACTTTTGAACAGAATTTTTATGCGTTTTTAAAAACATTCAGATATTTCCAACAACATTTTTTCGTAGCTAAATCTATTATGATCTTGAAGATTGAAATCTTTGAACTAGTCGTTACGATTTTCTCTGACTATTTCGTGGAACTTTGAATAGAAATCTGTAAGTTTTACAAAGTCGTTAGAAAGAAAGAGTTTCGATCTTCAAGATTGAACCATAGTAAATTTAGCGATGAAAACAATTTTTCAATGTTTTTAGAGACGTTTGAATTCTTACAATTTTCGAGGACAAAAGTATTCTCTGAACGATTTAATATTATAATTTAAGACCAATTGCGACAATATTTTTTTCATTGTATGCTCATGAAAATTGTAAAACGCATGAAAATCCGCCATCTACGTTATGAAATCATTGAATAGGTATTTTACTTCGTCTTGCGGACATCTCTGATAAAGTTGATGCATGGTCGACTACAGTATTCAAGGAACCTTTTCCCGTAGTAATGATAAAAAATACCGCCATAAACGATCGTTAGCAAGAGGATCAGCAGTCCGTAACCGTTGCACCAATCGATGTTGTTCTCGTAATCTGACAAAAGTCTCAATTAAATAAAATAAACAGGTGAAGGAATTTTTAGAATTTTGACTCACTGTTGTTGATCCAATATAGCGTGGCGAAAACGAAATAAATTACTATGACAACGTTTAGCAGAGATAGGAAAAAGATCTTGAACGCTAGACGATGTTTCGATTGAAAATTGCTGAAGGCATCGTATCCTGCTTGCAAATAACCTCCTGATTTTTGTATTCTTTCCTGAAAGAAGAAAACAGATATACATGTATACGTCTGCTTTATAGTCCAAAGTGATAACGAAGATAATATTGTACAAAATACGCAATTTTCGTTGATATCAAGATAAAGTAAAACGCCAGTGAGCTATCGATCGACTTCGCTAAATAGCATTCCTTTGGGACTGTGATTACAAATGAAGAAGTCTAAACATGCCACATGTATAAATACCTTGCCTTGTGTTATTGCTTCACTTGTCACATGTCCAACTTCCAGTGTGTCTAACTCGTTGGCCTGTCAAAATTGTTGGAAATCAAGTTCAATTTCATTTGAATTCTTGATGCAAATATTATTTCCATGTTATAGAAAATATTGTATTATATTTTGTACATATTATTTATTCATGTATATTACGTTATATTTAAATATTCTCCAGAATTAAATTACTATAATATATAGTATATTAATTGTAATATTTTAATGTAAATATGAAAGATTTTTTAATATAAAAAATAAACATTTTTGAAATGCTAATCATTCAATACAATATGATATCTCTTATAACACAGAAAGAATATTTTTCAGTAATATTTTCCAGAATTAAACGAGTAATGTAAAAGACACACATTTTTACTAAGACTACAATTAGCACGAAGAAATATTAAATATTTAATTATATTAAATGTTGAATATAAGAAAAAAGAAACGTTGTTAAAAATAATCTTTGTTGGAACAATAAACTTTATTAAAAAAATAAAATAACTTTCACTTGAAATATCTCTTACAATACAGAAATTATATTTTCCAATAATATTCTTCAGAATTTAACTTTAATAATCTAAGGAAAAATATTTTTATTAATTTTATTACGATAATCAGTCCGAGAAAGATATTAAATATTAAATACAGAAACAGAGAAACTTTGTTAAAAATAATTACCTACGGAACGCTAATCACAGAAATACTATTAATCTAAGATAGAGAATATTACTAATTTTAATGAGACAACTAGTACGAGAAAATATTAAATA